AAAAAAAAATTAAAAATTAAAGTAGATGCTAAATGTATAGGGAAATTGTAATGGGTAGCAAAAATCTTTTATGTAATTCAAAATATGTCACCTATTTTTTAAAATTTTCAAATATAGTACAAATTTTCACTTATATCAGTAGTATATCAGGCACTCATATCAGTAGTATATCAGATGTATATCGCATACATATATCAGTAGTAAGATATATTACATATATATTATAGATATATTACAAGTATATTACAGATGTATATCATTTGGATAAAGTTGTTATTTTAAAATTGGACCTCAAATTTTTTTTTTAAAAGTGCTATATTTGAAAAAACTAAATTATATTTAAACTATATTTTACAGTGGTTACTATTTTTCTAATTTTACCGAATGTTTTTGCATATTTGCAACTACCCCAAATGTAGTCATTTCTTTATATCTAAATAATTAGTCCAACATCACTTTCGTTCTTTTGCTTTCATCAGATGGGTTTTTTTGTCAGTTTACGATTGACTATTGAGATACATAATTTATATCTTCTTACATGGAATCAAACAACTGGGAAAAGTACAGAACAAACACATTAGATGCTAATCACTTCTTACATTGTGTGTAGATTGATAACTCTTAACTAACTTTTGTGTTTTTGGCAAGTGAAGGATTGGGAGCCGATATCATTTCAGCAAAATCTGGCAGCATCAGTTATTGAAGTTTTTAGAATTATTGAGGAGGTATTTATTGTTGTAATGACAATTACTTTAGTTATGTCTTAAAGACAAGAATTTTTGGTCTTGTTTGTTTCTCTAGTATTCTATTCAAACAATCAATATCAGTGCAACCGATGGAAATAGTAGTGGCGTGTAAAATTTGCGTGTAGCTGCTTTCTTTTTATCCCTTTAAATTTACTGTTAAGGGTTATTTCAATAAATTTTTTCATTTTATGGACTTACAAAGAAAAACTTGCAGACTGTTGATCAGTTTTTTGACCTGAACCTTCCGATGGACATCACACATTTGCAAGCTCTCCTGTCAATTATCTACCACAGCTTGGATGGCTATTTATCGGGTCTGCTCAACCAGTTAGGTAATGTATCAATTTGGAATTTAGGAAGACCCAGGTTGATGGTCAGTTGCAAACACACACACATATATTTGTTAAATATTATCTTAAACAAGCATATACTTAACTAGTGCATTCCTGTATTCCTTTCCTTCGGGCAGTGGGAAGATCCAGGCCATGTCTAGAGAGCCTAGCCAGATAAAGTTAGAAAAAAATATGATGCAAGTGAGAAAAAGTGTAGAGAGAAATTAGTTAAAGTATCATGTTTTGAGAAGCTAGAGAGAGAAATGAATATATAGATTGATTTTTCGATTATGTGTAGTGAGACTCTCAGACAAACTAGTGATGAGAGCTTGTGTGTACGTAAGAAGAAATAAGAGTGTGTTTCTACAGAGAGATTAGTAATAGAAAGCATAGGTGTTGAAAGAGAAGCTATATGTCCAGGGACGAACTAACGAGAGAAAGTATAGGTGTAGTTACCGAAAGTGTATGTTTGCATGTGTAGAGAGGCATAAGTAAGAAAAATGTATTTATAGACTGAAGTTAGTGAGAAAAAATATGTTTAGAGAAAGATGGGTGAGGTAAAATGTGTAGAAGGATATTAATGAGAGAAAGTGCATAAAGAAGAGGAAGTGAGAGAGTGTGTGTAAAGAGAGAAATAAGTGGGCGAGTGAGGGAGAGAATATTTCTTTCTTAGAGAAGCTAGAGAGGAGTTTGTGGGATCTGAGGGAAAAACGTGAGTTGGCTATTGGTAGGATAAGTGTATAGAATAGAGAAAAAATGAAAAGTTCGTATCTTGTTAAAAAAAAAAAGAAAAGAAAATTTTCACGACATGGTCATGTACCAAATGGGGTAGGGATTCTCTGTTTTTCACAAGGAGGGGGTCGAGGAATTTTCTCCATTTTGGTTATGGGGATAGGGATTGTGGTCCCCGAACTCAAACCTAAACCCGACCCTCACTCCTTGCTATTAAATATACTTTTTTTTCTCATAATATATAATTCTAATATATATATAAGAAATAAATATATATTATAATTTCATCCCAATAATAAAAAAGTGAACCATTTGGTAAAGAAGTCACTCGATACAAATGTTGAAAAGTAAATTTAAGAGGGGAAGTAACCTACCAAAGGTTATGCCTAAAGAAAATCCATTTACCATTGCCAAGCTTGAATATAGATAAATCTGATAGAGTCTGCTCTATTATTTATGTATGAGAGGGGAATTTACAAGTTGAGGGAGAATTCGAGAGCTCCCTAACCTCTCCTACAATTCCTCACAGGGAACAACTCAGCCACAAAGATAATCCCCCCCTCCCAATACAGCAGCTCATATAACCACCCTATATCCCTTTAAGGACCAAATTACCCCCTAACTAACTCGGGCCCACCAGGATCTAATTCTTTTACCTTCTTGCCCTTTCTTCTTACATATTGTTTAATGATCGGGGGCCTATCAAAATCTTCCACATTCTTCCACTGTTTAGGAATGTTGACCCATGCACATCTCAAATTAGCATTCTTTTTACCAACTTTGTGCCATCCAAAAAGTTCAGGCCATGTATGCTTGAAATCACCCGACGCCAATTTACAAAATCGCCAACCCCTTTTGCAAGTAACACCTGGTTTCTCACCTTTAAACCTCCAATTTCCCAGCCACCTCCATCAAGAGATTTAGAGAAAATGTTCCATCTAACTAAATGTTTAAGATTTCCAGCATCACTGCCTTCCCAAAAAAAATTTCTCATACTCCTTTCAACTTGTCCAACCACTTTGAATGGCATGCAAAGAATTGACAAATAATAAATAGGAATATCGAAAGCCATCTCTAAATAATTGAATCTATTCCATCTATCCAATTTCTTCCTAATCTTTTCAATGATGGAAAACCAAAAAATGAAAGAAATTGTTTCTAGGACTAGTTATCAAGTATTTAAACCTATAACGTTTGATAAAGTACCTACCAATTGCATTCTTAAAAAAGAAAGCAATTTTATGTGCTTTTTTACTTTCTTTTTAAAGAATTTTAAAATTATGGCCACATATAAATAGTTTAGGTGGTAATTGCTTTTTAATAATTTAAAAGTGCTTCTGATATGGTTAAAAGCACTTCGAAGGGGTAGAGACAACCTTAGAACATTTGAACTTCTAAACGACTTCTTATTATTTTGAACGGACATTGAAGTATCAGAGGTAAGATTGTCAACCTGAAATCAGATCAGAACTCTCAAATTCCAATGTCTTGAATCTCGATTATTAGTGATAAGGGACCTTCAATTTTATCTAATGCCCATTTCACTATCCTTCTATCATTAAAATGTTCTTAAAATTTCAAACACCATCAGTTAGGGGCCATAGACCAATGGCCTTGGGTATTGCTACGTTCGTACTTGCTTAGAGTATCAAACCTTGGAAAGTTAGACTTCGAGGAAGAAGTTGAATGTTCTTAAAAATTCATAATCCCCTTCCTTCAAGGAAGAAGTTGCACAACATCATTTTTCCTTGAAGGAAGATCTGGTCGTCTTGTTCAACAAGGGCAAAGAGAGGGGAGAGGTAGCTAAGGAGGATAAGGTCAGGGAAAATGATGATATTTTTAGACTGGGTGGGTCAAAGATAAAACTGGAGTTTTCAAATCTCATGCTGATTAATAACGATTTGGGTAAATTGAAATGTCAGTGGGTGCCAATGCTAATACTAAGTAGTAAACATCTTTAGTGACACAGAAGTACTGGGTTTTAATATCTACGTTCATAATAATGATGATTCAAAAGGTCAGTCTATGGGTGATTTGAATATATTATATATGTATGTTATATATACCACTAGAAATTTATTGACCTAAATTCTCTAAATGGTGAGTTTATTGGAGATTTGATCATATTATCTTTCCATTGCAGTTGAGAAGAATTGTTTATATTCACCAGTACCTCTGTTGACTCGTTTTATGGAGACAGTTGCAATAGGAAGGAAAAAGTTACCTGAATGTCATTTTGACGAGAATGTGAGCAGCAAATTGAATGGCTTGACAATATCTAAGCTTTGTGTAAAATTGAATTCTCTTGGTGTAAGTAATGCTTTAATTTACATGATTGTTGATTTTTTGTGATAATTTTTCCTATATAAGCGTATGCATGTCTAAAGTTTTTGATTTGACAAGCTTTATTGATAACAGTTTTTCAGCATCTATTATTGGCTTTAAGATCTCATCTATCTCATGGGTTCTTGGTTTCTATGTTTTGATTGTTTTTCTTTTTCTTTTTTCACTTCCTTTAGGAGCATGTATCCTTGAAGTTTTTTCTTCCTTTTCATATTATCAATGAAAAGTTTGTTTCTTGTTAAAAAAAAAGAAAAGTTATGTGCAATACTTATCTTGAGCGTGGGTCTTTAACATGTATGGTCTGTCAATGACTCAATGACCCTACAAGATCAGAGGGAAGGCCGGTTCCCTCAAATCGTTTGAGCCACCATAGTTAACATGCATTCTTAATGGCATTGCCAATTGGTAGTTTAATTATGTGCTACATCTCTTTTCTCTTCATGCAGTATATTCAAAAACAAATTGGAATACTGGAGGATGGAATTATAAAATCTTGGACACTTCTTGGAGGATCTGCTAAACATAAACGGGGTACATGAATGTGTATTTTACTTGATATTAGCATTCAACATGCATAACAACATTATTGATTACTTCTGCCAAAAATTTTTTTAAAAAAAAACAAAACAAAAAACAAAAAAGACTGACACTAGTGGGCTGTCTTGTGTGTTTTCATTTTGCATAATGACAATATGGTGAATAGCCATATGCAGAAAAGGATTGAATAAGGTGACTTCAGTATTTTTGTTATTGAAGTAAAGTTCTATTATACCACAAGTCCTCCATAGCGTATTTCAAAATTTTTAACTGTCACCTCATTCTTTTCTTGTGTCTGTTATGTGTATGCTTGAGGAATTCTAATACTTTATGATCACTTCTTTAGCTAGGTTCCTATCCATTACTATTTTGCTTTAATTGATGTGCTAGTTTGTAATATATATTGAGAAATTTGAGGAGAAAGTGTGAGGCCTCGAATAAGATATTAAACATGTTAAATCACCAATGAATCCAAAAGCTTAAGCTGATGGGGTTGGATAAATTTAATCATTTATAGGATATATAATTGAAGATGTAGCTGGGATCTACCTAGGGAGGGATGAAAACTTAGTTTATTATTTCACAGTGGATATTAAACATTTTAATTATTCTGTTTTGTTTTAAGTCAATTTTCTTTACTACTAATTAATTTAAAGTGGCAAACTAAGTAAAGAGTAAAGAGTTGAAGAGATATAGATCACCATAATTTTCTTACATAAAAAACCTGCACCAGAGAAAAACTGTTGGCACCCGTGCGATGAACAAGTCTTCAAAGAAAGTGACTACAAAGTTATAATTTATCACCAGATTTACAGGCAACACTTACTTGATGTTATAATTCACGTAGAGACACTTTGACCAAGATATCTTCTAGATCAAAATTTTATAATACAATCTTAATCCACAAAATCTAGTGCCTTCTAGATATGTAGACTAGTTATGTCGAAACCTAAGTTCCTTTGCAAATGACTCTAGATATGAGGAAAGATTGAAAACTTTTCACATCATCTAGACACTTGTGACAAAGAACAGGGTAGTGGACCCAACTAATGGGTCTATACTTAGTCTCATTTTACTACCTTTTTAAGGTATTTCACGGATGTGAGTAGTTTTAGTAAGAAAATTTATGTCAAGCTGTATTAAATATCAGTAAGAAAATTTATGTCAAGCTGTATTAAATATCTTAATCATATTTTCTTAATTTCATTGTCATCTATTATGTTTGACTTGCTTATAGTATAAAATTCCTATAAAGGATTATAAACAATCTTCTATGCAGCAGATATACAACAAAATGCTACATCTTTTCTCTTATATTAATGAGGAATTTGTTAATTTCCTGATATTATTCTTTACAATTTCTTTCTCGAATTGGTGATCTTATGTGTTATGCCCATAACAAATTTAGAACGATTGTTTTCAAAGTTATTGACCTTGGTAATTTTCCAACATATTGCCTGATTTAATTTCATTTAACCCAAAATGTCTTTTAATGTTTACTCGATGCTAATATCTATATAATGCATTCAGCCCAAAAGGTTTACACAACTGCAAATGGTGGTATTGGTAACTGTAGTGAAGAAGCTAATGAATTGTTTGCCACCACTTTCAACAACATTAAGAGTTTTGCCGCAAAGGTTATCAGCAAGTTCTGTGACTTTACTGGTGAGTTCCAAATGCTGATTTATATTGGTCAGGTCTAGCGATCAGTTGTTTGAAGTGGAAACTTAAAAGACTTAAAACTGAAAAATTAAATCTGACGATAAAGTAAGAAACTTGAAAAACACAAAACTGAAATTTAATGCAACTAAGATAAATCTGAAATCTCAACAAGTTTATCTGCGAAAATTTCTAACTCTGGATCAGGATGAAGTTCTTTTACAACTATTTTTTGTTTGTTTTTAAACTGGATTGCAAAATGTTTGGTTTTTTAACCAGATACGAACTTTTCGTTTGATGGAATAAAAATGAACAATAAAATGTTCAAAGGATACAGACTCCCGAAATAGTGAAACAAAAGGAATAAATAAAGAAAACATCGAAAACAAATTACAGAGGATTGATAAAAGTATCCCAATTAGAAAAAATAAGATTTTGGGAGTATTGCAAAATGTTTGTAGAATGCTTATATCAAAGTTCAAACTTTTTATAACTTTCATCTCTGATGTTGAAATTCTACACTCCAGGCATAAGAGTCATTTTTTGGGATCTCAAAGATGAATTCCTCTCTTATTTGTATCGTGGTAATGTTGAGGTGGCTCGATTAGAAGGCATTCTTGTGCATCTTGATACTGTAAGATCTTTGACTCAATGTGGCCAATTTTGTCTGGAATGTCTTGTATGTGCTTGCGTGTGTATAATATATTTTTCCTTAATTTCCATTCACGGGTTGTACTGATCTAAGGTTTCTATTATAGGTCCTCAACAATGTATGTGGCAAGATCGATGATACTCTTAGGGACCTTGTGGTATTAAGCATCTGTCGAGCATCAATGGTACGCTTATTTAAAAATTCTAGTTCTATCTACTACCTTTCCCTCCTTGCTTCTGAAATATATTGTTTTTCAGGAAGCTTTCATATGGGTGATGCTTAATGGAGGTCCTTCACGTGCATTTTCTGATGCAGATATTGTTCTCGTCCGGGAAGATCTTGGTATATTGAAGGTATGTGCATTCGATTAAAATTACTTTTAGGGATGTGGTTTATGACACAAGGTTCCAGTAAAAAATAAAGCCACAGCTCTGTTATAATAAGGGGGAAAATTTTTTGTTTGAACTTGTGGTCTGTGACACAAGTTTCCGATAATATTGCTCTTCCATCTGTCAATTCCAGGACTTTTTTGTGGCTGATGGAGAAGGTCTTCCCCGTACTCTAGTTGAGAAGGAAGCAAAATTCGCTGAAGAAATATTGGGCTTATATTCCCTTCCGGTTTGTTTTATCTCATCCTTATGATACAGTAATTCCTGCAGGTCACGTTTTCAAATTGTTTCATTTTTCTGCAGACTGAAACCATTGTCCAATTGCTGATGGGCACAAGTGGGCAAAATCCAACGGAATTGGATCCATGTAGTAATAATGGCAATTTTAAATTTAGCGATTCCCAGGCATTGGTACGAGTCTTATGCCACAAAAAAGATACGGAAGCTTCTGCATTTCTAAAGCAGAAATATAATCTCCCTGCTTCTTCAGGTGATTCTTTTTCTCCACTGAGATTCCACAACACTTTGGCACATTGTTTATTTCTTCACAATGATGCAATAGTTGGTAGATATTAGATGTCACTGGACATCCTTCAGAAGGAGAGCTGAAGTGTTTTGGTCCAATGCTATTGTGGCATATTTGCTAGATCATTTGGAGAAACCATAGAATTTCAATGTATTAGTATTCATCGGGTCCAGTTCAAAATCAATTGACAATAAGAGGAGTGACACACTTATATTATAAACCTTTGTTAGATCCCTTTTCTTTTCAATGAGATTCTTAACATGCTCCCTCAAGATTGTGACTCTTTTAACTCATCGATCTTGGCCCATTTGTGGACCGGATGCTCGTTTGAGCTTTTAGCTTTTGATAACATTCATGGGATTCCATGTGAAAACCAATTAGCAATGAGAGGAGTAGTCCACTTATATAATAAACCTTTGTTAGGTCCCTTAACACAATGGCATTTATAGAGATGAAAATTTTGTTCAGCCAAATATTTCCCATGCTTCAAGAAAGAGTTCTCTTTCTAAGGTTGTGTTATTATATTACTTTCTTTTCCTGATTTAGGCTGATCCAATTTCACTCCCTCCTCTCTCCCTCCCACCTTCTCCTCCACCTTTTTTTTCATTGCAGTTCTTCCCCTACAAAATTTTGTTACTGAGGTTGAAAATAGGATGTTACTCTGCCATGAAATCATGTAATGGGCCGTGTTCATGGGGAGAATTTATTCATTTGATTAAACGAGTCTTTATTTGCTTCTTAAACTACTCAGCATGCTTATGGAATTCTCAATCCAACTTTCACCCATCCAAATTTCAGTGAGACAATACCTACCAGCCTTGTTGCCTTTTTTTTCTTCTTTTTTTTGGTTCGGAATCGATGTCGTGTGACTTACGTTGTGAATCCCTATAACTGAAACTCGTTGCCTGGGTTGAGGAACGTTGTAACTAGCAGGGTTTAAAACTTAAAACCACGACCTCATGGTAGGTGATACTACGAGACTCAAGGTTCTTGCCACTACATCATCCCAGGGGACTACCGGCCTTGTTGCCTTAAAGATTACTTTTTTCTAACCTATCTCTATCAGTAACATTGATCAGAGAACCAAGCCTCTTTTAAAACAATAAGACAATGTTTTTCCTGTCTTTGTTTTTAGCATGTATTTTTAATCAAACATAATTTGCTGGTCTCTTTAAAATTTCTCGTTTTCAAGAAGTTGAGTGCATTTTTCTCGTTAAGATCGCTACTAATAGTCTAACTTCTTGACATTCTTGCAGATTACGACGATACCCCATTGAAAAGCTCAATTGTGAGATGACATTTGATTTGTGATACATTGAAAGCAAAGCTCTTACATATCGAAAAATTCATCGACTTAGCCATTTCAGCGGGGATAAAGGTATAAGTGCTGTCCTCACGCTTGGCTAGAAAGAAAGAGAAGGGAAGAAAATAGAGTTCGGTCACACATGGCAAGACTTTAACTTGCTAAAAGCAAGTTTTGATTGATGATCAAATCAAAGAGTAGAGTTTTGTCCTTTTAAATATACTAGTCTATTATCATGTATAATGTACATAATATATTTCATTATATTTCATTTTATAATAAAATTAGTTTGCAATTGCATATGATGATATTCTTGATAAAGTAATTGCATCGTTAGGCTTTCGATCGGATCACGAGCCAAGCCATTTGTTCGTGATTCATCGAAGGAAAAGGGAGGTACAATATAAATATTGTTTCTGTTCCCTCCCCATATCCATGCATTATGAAACTCTTCTTTAGCAGCCTCACTTCTATGAGCGGTTGTGATTTTGTGCATGTAGTAAGCAAGCTCATAGCTGATGGCAGAGAGTTGGATGGATTTCTTGGCTGGCATCCTGCTAAAATATCCATTTGATAAAAAAGAAAAATTAATAGATTAGGCGGGGCAGCTGAAGGAAGGGCGCTAGTACTACCCAACTGGCTGGTAAAGGGATTTTTATTCGGGCCGAGCTGCTCAAGATGGATACTCTGGTACTAGGTTATCTATAAAAGATTAAATTTGTCAATTAACTCATAGCTTCAGCTCTTGGGTTGATTGATGATTTAACATGGTATCAGGGCAGGAAATCATGTATTTGAATCCTTATAATGTCGTTTCTTTTCCATTTAATATCGAATTATCGATTGTTGCACCTTGTACTTAAAGGTGTCTATAAACAAGGTTTTAAATATCAATGTCGATGGAAATGTCAATATCTCAACTTTATGAAAATATCGATAAAATGTCGATGTTAATAGATATTTCTATCAAAATTTGAAAAATTAAAAAATTGTAAAAATATATTTAAATTGACAAATAAATATTTCTCTATTTCTAAATAAGTTAAAAATGATTAATATTAATATTAGTATATATTAGTGACAATTTTGTTAATATTTTTCATATTTTGCCGATTTTTTTTGTAGCATGATAGAAATGTCAATTTACCTGACATATAGAAGTCGTATTTATGAATATATAGAAATGTTAATCGACGCGTCAACATGTGTTTACTATGTGTTTACTATCATATCTATATAAATGGATTCAATTTGAATACAATTTAAGTGTTTGGGTTAATTGGTAACTTTCAAATACCATAATATTTTCACCATGTGATCTCGAGATGCCTCAGCCACTAGTTAATGAGCTTATACATCTATTTATGGTAAAATATAACGAAAATTTGAAAATGCATTATTTAAAAGGGAAAAATACACTTTTTTTTAGTGAAGGTAAGTTTTTATTTGATCCTATAACCTTTGAAAAATAGTTCTAAACGGTCGTTGGAGTTAAACTTCTATTAGTCATACTAAACGGAATGTTGACATGGCACGATGAGTTGGTATATTTTATTTCATTTATATCATTTAAAATTATATTAGAATTATTTTCTGATTTTTCTCTCTTTAACCCTCCTTGGGAGTATCCCAACGAAACGCTCTCTCTTGCCCCTTCTTCTCCGGACCACCCCAACAGAACGCTACATCTAGTCCACTTCGCCAAACTTCATGCTCTTACCAGATCGATTCAAAATCTCTTTTGTATTTCTCTCTCTGAAGCATATTCCAGTTTGATGCAAGTTCTAGATTGAGAAATTGTTAGCAACAATTTTTTCATTAAAAAATCTCTTCTGCAAGAGGGATTGCCCACAAAAACCAACCCAGATCGATTCATTATTCTCTTCTCACCCCATAATGAACAAGGTTTATCCATTCTCCATTCTTACTTTTCCTTTTAATTCATTTTTTTGTCCACTCTGCTTTGTTGGATCAATGAAATTGTAAAAAAATAAACTCCTTTTCCGTTCTGGTATTTTTGTTTTGAAACAAAGGTTAATTTCAATCTCAGAACAGTTTGGATTGGATATGTAGCGTTCTTTTGGGGTGGTCCGGAGAAGGAGGGGGAAAGAAGAGGAAGAGAGAGAAAGTAGAGAGAAAAATGAGAAAAAAGAAAGAATAAATATACCACTCATCATGCCACATCAGCATTATATTTACGTGACTAACAGAAGTTTAATTTTAGGGACCTTTGAGAACTATTTTTCAAAATTCATGAACTCACTTTTTCAATCATAGGAACCAAGTAGAAATCTACTTTCAAACTCTATTTTACCCTATTTAAAATTATCTTTATCTGTAGTACAAAAATGCATGAGAATTGAGAAACGAGTTCACAATGGTTGCCAGAGCCAAATTTGAAGGGTGTATACACGAATATTATTCAACTACGGTTTGAGATACAAAACTTTCGAAGGAAGTACTTTTCCAATTATGTAACCAAACAACATAAAAGCAATAAAAAAGTACTTCTGATCGGTTAGAAGTGTTTCTTTATCACTTCAAAAGCCATATCAAACTCAAATTTGAAAAAGGTTTCGGTTTCGGTCTTGGTCGTCCTTGTGATTCTAGATCTTCTCTCCGTCATCGACGACAAGCTTTCCCTCGGTAAATTCACAGGCAGAAATGGGCACACCAAGTTGCTTCTGCAGCTTTTTCACCACAAACACTTCTGGCTCTTCACAGATACTCACCACAGTACCCATCCTACCAAGCCGACCAGTCCGACCAGCTCGATGTGCATAGTGAATCGAATCCGTGGGCAAATCCAGATTCACCACAAGATCACATTCAGCAACGTCCAAGCCCCTAGCTGATAATTCGTTGGTCACTAAAATTCTTAGTTCCCCATTCTTGAAACTTTTCAAAGTAGTTGATCTAGCAAGTTTGCCCAAATCCCCGTGTAGCTCCGCTGCGGTCATCCCGCGAGCCTTTAACTTGAAGACGACGTCCCTTAGTTGCTTTGTATGGTTCATGAAAACCATTACATATTTAGCATCGAGTGCATGAACGCATCGTCTCAACGTATCGACCTTATGCTGCAACCTTGATACACAATAGTAGTGTTTTAAAGAGGGAGGTAGAGTATCAATAGCAGTCTGACTCTGCAGAGTTGAATTCGAAGTCGATCCAGAAGAAGGTCCTCTCAGATTAATCGGTCCCGAGGGAGGAACAGATTCAAGGGGGGTAACCTTGTTGGCCTTAACAAGAAGAGGGTCACACCCCCAGTTTTTAGCTGCTCTTACTACTGAGAATGGCACTGTTGCAGACACCATGACTAATTGCCGCTCAGCCCTTCTTGCTGGAGCGTTTTTGGATCCTTGTGGATCGGCACCCGATCTTCTTCCAACATGTTCCAATATACGATGCATGTCCTCTCGAAAATTAAACGAAAGTAGCTCGTCCACCTCGTCTAAGATCAAGTAACTACAACCATGTGTGTGAAGCCTCCCAGCTGCACTAATCTCTGCAATCCTCCCTGGCGTCCCAACAACAATGGCGGGTTTGTTTTTCTTTAAAGCTTCCTCCTGTCTCGACCGATTTGCACCTCCGACAAGCTGCTGAACTAGTTTCCGGTGTGCAGGTCCTAATATCTTCTCAACCTCTCTCACAATTTGCATTCCAAGTTCCCTTGATGGAGCTACTATAACTGCCTCTATCTCCTTTTTCTTTTCAAATTCGTCATTGTTATTGGAAGCTGTATTCTTAAACGGGCCTATTTCTGAAAGGATGGGAAGAACATATGCCAAAGTTTTTCCAGAACCCGTGTAAGATTGAATGACAACATCGTTTTTCTTCAAAATTGTGGGAACCGATGCGGACTGAATGTCAGTAGGAACTGTGAAGCCTTCACTCTCTAACCTCTCTATCAACAAGGCTGGGAGACCAAGCTCAGAAAATGACTTGGCAGCAAATGGAGCCATCTCTGTTTCTACCAAGTTTCTCGCTCCAACCGCCTTTTTTTCGTTGTTTCGTACTGTCTTTACTCTACTTTTGGAGATATCTCGGGGAGAATCTAACTCAGTCACTTTATTCACTTTGCTCTTTCCTGTCTTTTGAAACTCACTTTTGAACCCAAGGGTTGCAAGAGTAAGTGGTCCATGGTTCAACTCAGCCTTGTTAAGAGAAAACACACCACTGTGAAACAAAGTCGAACGACAAACTTGCGGTAACTTCTGAAAGGAAAACGATTCACCAGCAAACAGAAATAATCGACCCGGTGCTAACGCGATCATCTTTACCAGAGTTCTCCCTATAAATAGTTACATATGGTGTTCAAATAGCTCAATTCTGATAACCCAGCTAGGACAATGGCTGCCAAAATTTTCTAAACAAGATAAATTTGAATTCAAGTTGATGATTTTGAATAAATCTGAAAATAAAACATAAAAAAAAAAAAAAACTAGTTAGAACAACAATGATGCTAATTGCTACATCAAGAAATATTCAGTGTTTATAACTATTAAGATATTAAGAAGAACCATTCCAAAGTAACAGAAAGAACCTGTAGAATCAACAGACAGCGTTAACTTGGATACAAAATTTTTGGAAAGCATTTGCCATTCATTTTATTCAAAGATAAAAAAGGAAAAAAAAAATTAGTTACTAAATTTTGATGGTTGAATCTATTTACAAATTAGTTACAAATTCCTACTCTCTTCTACCACATTACACCAAATCATTGAAATGTTATTCCAACCCAAGCGGCGGCAGATATGAAGGAGAAACCCTAAAACACGATTGCTTATTTTTTCTTTTTTCCTTTTTCAATTACAGGCGGAAGTCATTTTTCAATGGGGGCAAATTGCAAAAGCAGTGGGAAAAAGGATAACATATGACCAAAATTTGGAGCATTGAAGAGATTAAACCTTGAAATTAAAAGTATCAGAAGCTCAATAAGGAGCATGGAATTAGAGAAATTAAATGCGCGAAAGGGAGGAAGAAGAGAAGAAACTCCACGTACAGTAAACTCCAGCGGATAAATTCGGGGGATGCAGATTCCGGCGGGACTCTCCAGGGAATGAAGACGCCGGCGGCAACCGCGGCACAGAAGCAGATTTGGGAAAGGAAAATTTTGGTAGAGCAGCCAAAAGGGTGAAGCATGAAGAAGTCGGAAAAATGGGGTTTTGGCCAAAATGCCCTTATGAACGTGTGAATTTGATCGGGTCAAAAATGCCCTTTTTCTTGCTACATTACCCTTTTCACTATTTTGTCTCTAAAATATATTATCTGAGTAATGTATTTTTTTTAAGTAGGACATATGTATCTTAACTAATTAAAAAAGTTTAAATTATCTCTGATTTGTGAGATTGTTGTTATCTTGAGTTATCCGCATTGAAAAAAATATTAAGAGAATAAGTATCTAATTATTATTCAATATATAGGACCTCTCGTTTTGATGTATTGGGTAAATTTAATTATTTAGGGATATCTTAACAATTACCTAACTTGTTGTCTTTGACATTTTTTTTTAAATGGACTATAAGGATCCAATTAAAAAGGAAAAAGAAAAAGGTCGATGCAAGATGACATGTCAGGCCTTTGGCCATCGGTTGTCCTCTACTGGGGATATGTTTAGCGTGTATCCAACGATATTTTATACCTTGGTTCAAAGTGGATAGTATTTTCGTATTTTCACCACTTACTCATTTTTGTTCTTCAAATTCCTCTAGAGAAACTGTACTTTCATTTCATCTTTCCTCTAATCTACCAAAATTAGCGATCACCCCACCAATAGTAGGAGATGTAAGGATTGATCTATTGAATAATTTTTTATTTTGATTGATAATCTAAAACACTTTTATTTTTTTCGTTTCTCATCCTTAATTATTAAATATTTAATGAAGTTATTAGGAAGGAGTAAAGTATTTTCCTTCTTGCTGTCGTGATTAATAATAAAAATAAAAAATAAAAACTCTGCAAACGCGCAGGAGAATCACTAATTACCATAATAGGTGCACAAAAAATGAAAGATGCCACCCCACTCACAGGGAACGCAATTTATTTAAAATTATAGATTCCCACATTCGTTTTCATTAATCTCTCTTTTCAGAACTCATTCTTAGAATTGGTGTAATTTAGACGTTCCTATTTTCTCTCTTCATTTCTCCCATGCATTTTTTTTTCTCACTTCTCATCTTCTTCAACTCTTCAATTAACAATGTCAAATTGTTGTGAGACGAACCAGTCTCCTCCACCGCCGCCTTCGCCGCTGCTCCGAGCTCCCGCACATGCCTCCTCGTCTCCACTGCCTCCTCTCCGTCGCCCATCAACTTCCTCA